CGTCCCCCGCAAGTTGTTGGTCCTTGTCGTTCAGGACCTGTCCCACGTCCACATGGTGCATGAGGTGCTGACGGAGTCCGACCACGCCGGAATGCCGGAAACATTTAGCGACATGCAGGTTGTGATCTTGCCTTTGGCCCCGAGGTCTACCTCAGCATGGAGGGGTGCGACAAGGATCTCAAGGGCGTGGTCTTGGAAGAGTCACTGGTGCAAGTCTGCGCAGGGGTCCCAGCGCCTCTTTGTGGTTGATCCATGCCTGGCTTGGCTATGCGCGAGCTGGCGAGGAAAGTTTTGGGTGTACGCAGCATACGTGCGTATACTGCACTCGAACGGAGTTAAAGCAAAGAACGAAAGAACACGAGCCAGCGGCTATAGGGGCTGCAAGCCTCCGAGTCGCGCGGTTCTGAAAAATTTTTTTAGTCAACGAACTCGTGTCAGCCAGCATCAGGACAAACTCCAACAAACACGGGACTCGGCTGAACCCGGCTTGTTTTCAGAATGTAGCTTTGGTTTAAAGCCAACGTTAACAACGCCGGGCTTTGAATCTCAAAGCCAGGCTTCCTTTCCGTTACCAAGATCCCGAAAACCGGAATCCCAACCAAGAATTCCCCGTTATTCTGGACCCTCTTTAAGGTCCTGCCCCCGGGGCCGGGGGAGTGAGAATCCACACCTGCTCCATGCGAACGCGGACAGGCCACTGCTCCGGCTACACGGATTCCCGGATACCGCCTACCCTAGCCTGCACGAGCACTTGCATGCGTGGTCCATTTGAGCTTGATGGGTTCAAGGCATGCGCAACGCACAACAACCCACTAAAGACGTCACCCACGCTCAGTAAATCCCAAAAATCGGAATGTTGCATTCTTGTGTTACAGGATGTCTAAGACAATCGCTACGGGAAGTCGAGCTCCGCCGCTACCACACGCCGCGTGCATTCACACTTCGCGTTATCCTTTCCCTCCTCAAGCGCGAGTGCGGTGCCAAGAAAGAATAAAAAAAGTAAAATTATCCGGCGCTATACGTTGTTGTGTCAGTGAAAGAACAACGCAAGGCCTGACGTTCTTTGCATTTCTGTTTTTTTGTTCCTGTTCTGGTGTTATAATCACATCCTTAGGCGTGTTCATCTTCTCCTCGTTTTTGTGCTCCGCGGCCTAAAAAACCTGAAGACCCTGAGAAGACCCTTCTCCTAAACCATCTAAACCCCAAACCCCTACAAGCCTTAAACCCTCGGCCCTCCTCACGGCCGAGACGCAGCTGCCCTACTTCGGAGCGGTGCCGACGCTTGAGCTCATGGCTGAGCGTTTTGAAGGGTTTGTTTTTCGGTTTAGGGCCTGGGGCCTGGGGTCTAGGGTTCTTGGGGTTTGTTTTTATTTGTTGTTCAAGGTTTCCTTGGGAAGGGTTTCTCAGGGGGTTTAGGGTATGTGTTCACAGGGTTTACGGGTTCAAGCGGCATCCGCCCCCTCCCCGACACAAAGCGAGGCTGTGCCCTGCGCAGCCACCGTGGCTGTTTGCCAAGCCGCGGCTGCTTTGGCTGCATGTCGAAGTACCGTCCTAGTCGCAACTTTTCCCCAAACAGTTTTCGCTTGGGGGGGGGAGGGGGGGGGAGGGGGGGGGGTACTAGTCCCTAGTCTAAAATTTGTCTCCCACTTATCTCCTAGATGTCTCCACGTTGGATGCTTGTGACGCGCTTCTGGGATTGTTGTCTTCCATGTGTTTCCCATTTGTCTCCCAGATGTCTCCACGCTGGATGCTGTGGTGCGCTATGATGCGCTTCGCAAGAAAATCAATTGAATAGGTTTTTTCATTTTGACAAGAAGACAGCCGTACAATACGTCTTTTGTTGTCATACGGCATTCTATTTCATTAGCTCACAGAATATAAAAATATTCTGGCTCACAGGAAATCCACCATTGACAAATTGTCGCATTGAAGCAAGGATTCTTTAAAAACCCAACAGAGAACTTTTTGCAACACGGTTTGTGGCAATCGTGGCTGAATGCTTGCGTCGGAACATATTGTTGCCAACATGGTGAAGCAATGTCTACAGATTTCGGCAGGCTTGCCACGGGACTTCACGATTGTCCCCCTCTGCCCGCGCACGGCGTACCGCAGACTTGTTTCATCCATGTTCAGCCACGTGCCAGGTCGGGTTGCCTCGCGCGAAGCCAAATTGGCCCACCTGTAGATAGCAGTTGCTTGGGGCTTCAAGACATAAACTCACAAAAAAACAACATATAAGTGTCTGCAGAAATGGGTCCGTCTCGCGGAACCTTTTCGAGCCCCGCGCGATTATGGTTGTTACTGCCTCAAGCGCCCAAGAAAGCCCAGCAAAAAATATAGGAAATCTGCGCGCTTCCATTCTTTCATTGCCAACTTGTTATCCATTAACAGGCTTTGCTTCCCGAATGTCTCCAGGCTGGATGCTGTGACGCGCGTTTGGGATTGTTGTCTCCCATTTGTCTCCCATTCGTCTCTCATTCCCCAAACAGCTCTAGCCAGGGGCTCTAAGCTGTGACGATTTGGATTTCTCATGGCGCTACTCTAAAACATGGCGATCCGACCCAGGTTGACCGAGCTCGACTTTCTCGAGCAGGTCACTGCCGAGAACCTTCTCCTGGGGGAAAGGCTTTGGCCTCGGATTTTGGGTTTAGTAAAAGTGGTCTAAGAGGCACAGCCAAAATTTGGGTGTGTTAGGGGTTTTGGGGTTTACGGGCTTCGGGGTACCGAGTGCGAGGGCGGGTATTCTGAAGGGTACCTGCAGGCCCTAGACATCCCTAGACCCTGAACCCTAAAGCTGAGACAGGTTCGTCGAAGCTCTGGGCCTGGACGCCGTGCAGAGGCCGGGCCCAATCTACCCTCAATGAAAGAATGCACCTTGATCGATGCATCGTGCTTAGTTTAGGGTTTGTGGGTTCGCGTGGAAGCTGGTGAAGGCATAAAAAACACGTCGAATGCGAAGCGCGCGCTGCCAAGCCCCTCAGACCCCTAAGTTAGCCTCACGCGCAAACTCTAAACAATTGTGTAGAAACAGTGTGAATATGGACCGTTAATAACTTTGCACTACGTCCGAATTCCAATCTGAACCTTTACTATAGCCATCGGAAACGCCTTAAAGCCTATATAGAACCAAGTCGGGTGAGGCCTTGGGTTCATCCCTTCGGAAAGAAACACAGAAGCATTGAAGAGCATACTCGGTAGAGCCCGGCTGGTTGCGAGTGATATATGAGCAAGACTGAGCCAGTGTATGTTCCGCTCCTTGCAGCCTTCATACATGTCAAGTTCAACCACGCTGGCTCGCGGCCTGCAGGATTTCTATCACACCCGTCATACCGAAGAGACAGCGACGCTATACGACTTAGAGATGATCCGCACCAACCCCGCTTACCCTAGCCCCTTGGCAAACCGCAACAAAGCATGTCGTTGGGGAACCAAGGTGGGAAATGAGGAACTCTTTGTGAATCCCTTCTCGATGCTTTCTTCTCCTGGCTTACTCCTTCTACACGAAACCCGATCACCTTAAAGAGCCTTGACGTCACAATTTTTGCGAGGATGCGCTTTAGTAAGCAGGAAGCGACTTTTATCGATATTTTCCAATCTGGAACCCTACAGTTTTAAGGTAAAGCTGATGCCCCAGCCTGACCAACATCTGAAAGTCACCTCTGCAGGCCAGTTGAGCTGCTGGACCTGGCCCTGGAGGCCCTGGAGGCTGTGCGAACACATGTCCCTGTAGATTTTGCAACTCTGAGTCCACGGTTGAAAGTTTTTTGGTAGCCTTCATGGGCCCGCTTGTGTCGAAGCGCATTCCCAACCCGTCGAGAATCTTGGCACGCTTTGGCCAGGCCGGCGATTCGGATGGGCGTGCTTCCACATGCATATGCCGTCGACCGCGCCAAAAGTTGCGCAGAACCCCAGCAGCCTGAGCCCAGTCCGGGAATGGCTTTGCGCGTGCTTCGTCTTATGCCGTTATGGATGCTCAGCTTTCCAGCTTGGAAGCTGATGTGGCCAGATTCCCCCAGTTTCTGGAATTTCTGGGAATGACGGGGAGCGTGGTGAAAATATTGTAGTTTTTTTCGAAGTTACACAGTAGATTATATTATACTTTTCTGCGAATCAAGCTTCTATTGAAAATTTATTGCGGTTAACGGTGTGAGGGTTTTAGAATGTTCCTCTGGATCATCCAGGATAGAATCTTTGCGTCGTGCATCGGATCGGAACAAGCGAAGGAGAAAACAGGAGCAGTTAGCGACCAAACCGACGGCATTTCTAGGCAGAAGACCCTTGAATCCAAATGAATATATATATATATATATATCACGTTGATGTCCATCTATTTGTTGCAATGTCCGAAAAGGAATTATCAGAAAATTTGAAATTGATTTCCTTCCTGGGTCCAAGAATTGCCTAGCAACGAAATTCTGATTGTAGACGTCGATCGGCTATTTCCGAATATTCAACATTGTCGCACGTCGGGGGGGATATAAATATAATTACGAGCAAGCGCGTCTGAAGTGCGTGAGCAAGCCGGTCAGAAGAATCCGTACCAGGGCTTTGACGATGACCTGCAAACTTAAATCCAAAACTTCAAAGACAGCTTGAGACTTCGGATCTTCGATCGGTTGAGTGGCAAAGGGCTCCCTATCATGTCCTAGCTGTTCGGTCACCCGATTCCTATATCCCCCTTGGGAATTATTTTGTATTTTTGTTTATATACAGCCCAAGAGGATACTAACAAAAACATGAAAATTAAGGTTGTAAGGGGAGTATGGATACAGCCAGGGCCTGTTTGGATCCGTTTCGGGGACCTAGGAAGACTCTTACCATATTGAGGGGCGGAGCCGGTTGGGGTCCAAAACCATAGCTTGCCAATGCTTGCCAAGACAACACCAGAGTTTCAGCATCATGGGAATCATTGGTGTGGTGCAACTTGGCGATGCACGAGCATTTGGCTTTCAGCTCCGTCAGCTTCTGCGCTCGTGTGCCGCGACGCTGCTTTGCCAGACATGACCTGGGTCTACAACTTCGGTGCAGGGAAGCGGCAAGGGCGCCAATCTCGCCGAGGCCAGGCCGAAATCAGTGTTGGTGGCGCCATGGGCAAGGAAACATTTTACTGGTATCTACAGCGTGAGCCAGCACGGATACCCCATAGCCACTCTCGCCCTTAAGTCTGATGAATCCCAGCACGCCAAACCAGAAGTCAGAGAGCAGCGACCGCCAAAAGCAGGCCCAGTGAGAACATTGACCACCTTACGGTAACCACGCATCCCAAAAACTGTCGCAGCTCGCCCCTGCTGCGCCAGATGGCCTCCATTGGGCTTCCTGTTCCACCTGGCTTCACCCTGACCACGGAGGCTGCCAAGGGAGGTTGCTTTCAGCATGCGTCTGAAGTGTGGGTGTTCTGTCGTGCCGAAGGTCTGCACGCACTACTACCAGAATGGTTGTGCCTTTGATTGCTAATGGATCGGAAAAACGCAGAAGGGACGGCGTTCAGAGAAACGGTGGAGGGAAGGGCAGGATGCACAGAATAGCGTAAGACGAAACGGAGCAGCGATCAAGGTCAGTATCCTGCAGACCTCAAGGAGCAGGTCTCGAAGGCGTTAGCTCTGGTTGAGACAAGGCCGGAAAAGGCTTAGGAACATGCTTCAGAGGACTTCCCCCGTCGCCCCTACAATATAGTGCGCACCGCAGGACCGGGCGGAAATTCGGGGACGCCACGAATCCCCTGCTGGTTTCGGTCCGCTCGGGTGCTCGGGCCTCCATGCCTGGCATGATGGACACCGTGGCTTGGCTATAGGGTTCATACGGCTTAGAGGGCTTAGGGGGCTTACAGGGCTTTTGTGGGCTTGTGGGGCTTGCGGGCTTAGGGCCTTAGGCTTCAGGGTTTAGTGGTGCTCTCCAGCACTTCTCAGCAGGTGCTGAACCTCGGCCTGAACAACACGACTGCGGAGGCCGGGGGAAACGGCTTGGGAGAAAGCCAGCTTTGGGGGAGTTAAATGCCTGGAAATGCCCTGGTGTGTGAGAGCGCGCAGAGGACGGAGCGCATCCCATGGTGCAAGCTGTTTTTGGTTGTCGTTCACCTCTCTGTGCCTCCTGCCTCCACCTTCTTCGGGAAATTCGGAAAAGGGGCTCAGCTTTTTCTCGGGAGAGCGATGCAGGCGCTGGCCAAGCAGTCGGGAGACCGGCGCTTTGCATTCGACAGCTACCGGCGCTTCGTTCAGATGTACTCAGGAGGGCAGTGCCACCGTCATGTTCATGCCACTGCTGCATCTGTTTAAGATTAAGAAATAATCATTCTCTTTCTTCTGAGCATGTGACTCCCTGAGATGTGGTGCTGGGAATTGAGCTTGGCAACTTTGAGAAGCTTCTGGAGAGGGCCAAGGCCAAGCGAGGCGTCGCTCGGAAGAACTCTCGCGCACACGCATGCTAACATATGAGTGCACTTGGATGTGGGAGGTGAGCCTGGACAGAACTGAGGTGAAGCAAGATCACGAGCTCCTGCCGGAAGACCTGGAGCAGCTGGTCAAAGACTACAAGGCCCCTCGTGCGAAGGCTGTGCTGTGTGACTCCGAAACCTCCTTGGATCACGCAATGATCGGAAGGCCTGCGTCTACCTGGAGCTTGGGGAGGAGTTCCCCGAGGAGACAGCAGACAGCGGGCCTTCAACACAACCAGTGCAGCAAGTTGACATGCCAAGGGCGATGAAGCAGACGCCCACTATAGGTCACTAGGTCCCCTTGCAATCTTGAATAATCTTGAATAATCTCACGGAATGCTTGCGAGAGTTTGACCAGCTACATACAGTAGGAGCCGCACCAGCAACTCTGGGGTGCCGTGGGCGCCGTCTTTGGGTCCTGGATGAACCAGAGGGCCAAGACCTACCGGAAGCTGCACGACATCCCCGAGGACCCCTTTGAGAGGTTTGCGCTTCTTTTCGCCCCTCCCGGGCCCTGCCAGATGCTGTCAGGAGTGGGGCACGGCTGTGAACGTTCAGGCCCGATTCTCACTTGAGAGTTCGAGTGGGTGGCATAGGGTGGCTTCATCAAGATGTCACTCTGGGATCGTTCAGGCGATGGTCTTTGGCAACATGGGCAACGACTGCGCCACGGGAGTCGCATTCACGCGCAATCCCTCCAACGGTGCCAAGGTCTCTCGGGGGTTGGTGTAGTGCTGCCTAATAGCGAAGCATGTGAAGCATGTGAAGCTGCCTCTTAAGCATACCCACTTCGAGGATTTCTATGGGGAGTTCCTGGTGAATGCTCAGGGCGAGGCCCGGTCCTCCGCGCACGCGCCTTTCCATGCCTTCCCGTGTGCCTTTCCGTGCTTTCTCCTGTGAGACTGTCCCCAGCGTGAGAGGATGTCGTGGCGGGCATCCGGACGCCCCAGGAGCTGACGATCAAAGCTCGCAAGTCGCATGGCAGCGACTTGCCATCGCTGGAGGAGGTGATGCCGAGCATATTCCAAGAGCTGGAGACAGTTCGCCACCAGCTGGAGAACCATTACACGGACATGCAGGACATCGAGCTTCTCGGCTCTTAGCAAACTTTAAACTTAAGTGAAGGTCAGGTGGAGTGTCTGCTTTGCATGGGTGTCTCCTGCATCATTTGTTTGACAACGTTTGGAGGCACATTGCTGCAGCTGAGGTTTACCATCCAGCAAGGCAGGATCATCCTGAGCTGTTTCCGGTCTCCCGCAGTGTTGTTTCCTGACATCCTTCGTGAGGCAAGCTGTACATGCTCCAGACCCGCACGGGGAAGCGCACGGCCCACGCGGCCCTGCAGATTGCGGTGGACATGGCCTCCGAGGGGCTGATCAGCAAGTCGCAGGCCCTGATGCGCCTGAAGCCCGATCTCATCGACCAGCTTTTGCACCCCACGCTGGACCCCAAGGCGCAGACGGATGCACTGATGGATGCCCCAAAATGCCGGAACCGGAACCTAAGGCGAAGACCTGACGCAATCGTGGGACTTAGACTTAGGCCACGGAACCCTCAACCTGCCTAGACTAACGCCCTAACCACCCAAAAAACAAAAGAGCTGGAACCCGAGGCCAAGAAGACCGTCATTGCCAAGGGCCTGCCAGCCTCGCCAGGGGCGGCTGCCGGCAAGGTGGTCTTCACGGCCGATGAGGCTGTGACTCGCTCGGAGAACGGAGAGAAGGTGATTCTGGTGCGAGTCGAAACGAGCCCAGACGACATCCATGGACTGCATGCGGCAGAGGGCGTCTTGACTTCTGGCCTGCATCAGACATGACCTTCTCTCTCTTGATGTCTGAACATCATCTGAGCTAGATATAGCATGATATAGCGGAATGAGCAGAGGAAGCGGTTAAAAACTGGCCGTCAAGCCATGATTTGCACAATGATGTTCCAAGTTCCAACAGCTAGAGGACAACTCGCGGCGGCATGACCAGCCACGCAGCCGTGGTGGCGCGCGGCATGGGCAGACCTTGCGTGGCAGGCGCTGGGGAGGTGAAGGTCAACTACGCCTCGGCTTCCTTCGAGGTGGGCGACGTGGTCGTCAAGGAGGGCCAGCTGCTCACCATAGACGGCGTCACGGGCGAGGTGATGTTGGGAGAAGTCCCCACGGTGCCGCCGCAGCTTTCCGGCTCCTTCGGCACCATCATGGCCTGGGCAGACGAGTTCCGCACCATGCAGGTCAGGGCCAATGCCGAAACGCCGACAGACGCGCGGCAGGCCCACGTGGGATCTGAGGGCGAAAAGCTTCCGTCATCCCATCCTTCTTGTGACCCCGGAATCTGAATAGGCCTAATTATGTAGGCCCATAGGCACCTCGGTGCCACAGTTTCCCACTGTTCCCTGCAACGCGAATCAAACACGAGGCCAAAGAGTTCGGGTGCGAGGGAATTGGCCTGGTGCGCACGGAGCACATGTTCTTCGAGGGGGGCCGGATCGTGGCATCTTGTCTGCCAGTTCCGTCGTGCTGCGCTGAGTTGCGCTGCTGATTCTGTCGCTACTGAGTAGGCTCGCAGAATGCTGTCTTAAGGCCATGCGGCAGATGATCTTGGCCGCGGATAAGGCAGAGCGCCAGTCGGCTTTGAACAAGCTCCTGGCCATGCAGCGCGAAGACATCAGCATGCTAGTGACCTACCTCCTGAGCTTTTTGCTCTCGGTGCATGCGGGCCTGGCAGAGGTAGCCAGGTACGAAACGGTCATCACTTACATTACTGGCTGTGGCGCGTTCTTCTTCTTGGTCGTGATGTCCATGCCCAGCTGGTATGTGAGTGCGTGCACATGAATGCTGTAAAGCTGAGTGAAACTCGTTTCTGACGTGGGGGGTTGCTCAAGTGAAAAGGGACAAGTCAATCTGCCATGGGACTCGGAAGCTTCTCTCTGCTTCTTCTGGCGAAAATCTTTGAAGCTGGCTTGAAGCTTGATCGAAGCGCCTACTTCTTCCCAGCCCCTGGAGATTTGACTTTCAACCACACCACCAGCTGCCTCTGCCAGTGCGACTGTGGCGACGACAAGAGGGCGACCCCGTGGTATCAGCTGCTCACAAGCTTCTTCCTCTGGAGCTCAGGCCTAAGTGTGGGGCTGATCTACCCGAGGTGGAGGCGTTCCGAAGCAGGTGATGCCATCGCCACCTCCCCGCGCCGACGCGGAAAGGGCCTTATCACAATGCCTTCCGGGCGATAGGCTCGTCACCTGGTATGAAGACGACGATCTATGGCACGAGCGATTGTTGATTTGGCCCAAGGACAGGCAAAGCTGGTGGGTTGCTACACCCGACGGCGATATGTACCTCGAACCAATAGTTGGAGACGGCACCCTCGGTCCCCTTACTTTCCGGATCAAAGGCGTCGACTTCACCTACTGGTCCAGGCTCACCAGGCCGGTGTACCGCTTCTCGGAAAGCGTCAGCGATGAGGACTTCAAAGGCTGGATCCGCGAGGCTCTGCAAGAGTTACGTGGGATGGAGGGACCTAGCCCTGAGGTTCCTAGACATGTGCGAAACATGAAGGGGGATGTTGTCGACGCGACGGCCTATCTCGGAACCATCTTGGTGCCCCGCAGGGTCGGGGCCAAGCGGCTTGTCACCGCCAGCCCTACATCGAGCCCGGCGACTTCACACGAGTTTCCTGTCCTTTCTTCGACAGACATGTGGGTTATTGCCGACCCTCGAGGTGAACTTCAAATCGGAGCCGAGCTGACCCCTTCGCCAGGAGACTTGTTCCTCGGCGGCAAAGATGCTGCGTTTTTTCGGGCTGGCTTGTGGGTCAGGGGTGAGCTTGTAGATAGAGCGTTGCTGGATGCTTGGCAGCTTGAGCGCTTGAAACACCTGACGGGCAAGCCCCTTGTGGATGCGGCCGCCGAGCGCCTCGGCATCCGCCCGGACCCCGAAGACCCTCTGAAGAACCGTGCGGGCGAGGCCAGGGAGACCCCCGAGGTAAAGGACGATGATGAGTCCGATGCCAGGACACTTTGGGTTGAGTTTGATGACCAAGGTGACAGATTCCGAGAATGGAGGAAGGTTGTGTCCGACTCCGCGGCCCATGCTTGGAAGGACTGGCCGCACCAAGGACCGGCGTCGCTCTTGCACACAATGAAACATTTCCATCGGCATGGAGGTGACCCTCGCTCTTGGCTACAGGCATGGCTCCGGAAACATCATCTTGCTGAGACCGACAGGACGGCTCATGAGGTCCGCTCGTTGGTGGAGGCATTGTGGTTGGGAGGATGCTACGACCAACTAAATATGCCGAGCCTAGCTTCGTTCGAAGCGATCGGTCGACGACTTCAAACAATCGTAGAAGCGTACTCCAATGGAGCCAATGGAGTTCCTGACTGGGGCCACGCGAGACTCTTCACTGGTGCGGTCTCGGCCGACGACGTCGTATCGGCCGAGCTGCGGTCATGGGCAGCAAGGCGTGGCAAAGAAGAAGTAGAACTCATTGCCGCTCGCTCAAAGATCAAGGACATGCGCAAGCTCCTGACCGGCGCTGAGACCACGAGCTCGACCCTGGATGATGCGCTGCCGAATCCCAAAGGGAAGCAGAAGGGTGGGCGCCTTCGCAAGCCGGAGGCGCCCGAGTCGACATGAAGGACATGTGTCCTCCGCCTGGGTTGGCCCCCCCAGCGGAGGAGAATGTTTGTGGGGCCCTGGGGGGCCTTTTCCCGCTCCCCGAGTTGCATGTGGAGTGTGCCGCTACGAAGCTCTCCAGAGGAAGTTCCCAACGGCGCAATCGGCGAATTCGACTTCAGGTGGACACGAATGAGGCGGTACGGGCTCTCAATTGGATGGCTGGTGCCCCTCAGGATCGTGGCGCTTTTTCGCCTTCCCGGCTTCAACAGGAGGCCCTCGAACATGTGAAGGCGGCGTGTGTGGCTTCCCTTGAACTTCCCGAGGGCGCTACTTCCCCTTGTTCCCCGGAGGCAGCCTTTCGAGAGTTGCTCCGCGGCTCCTCGGTTTACGAGGCGGCCGGTTCAACCTTGGCGTCCTTCAGCCTTGACCGCGTCAGCTTGCCGGAATCTGTTCATGACTGTCCGCAGGTGACCGACCTGCTCTACGGCACCGACGCCCATCAGTATTTGGAGGACCCCGAGCGCATGCTGAAACCAGCTGAAGACCACAGTGACATTACCCCGTACTGGGACCCCTTGTTGAGGAAGAGCGTCCGACATTACAAGTCACTCATACAGCGTTTGCATAAGATCGGCTACTGCAGCTATACTTTAACCCCAAAAGAACGAGCTGGCATCTTCGTAGTCAAGAAGAGCGATGGTGTGCGACAGAGGCTTATCATCGACGGGCGGAGGGCGAACTTCAGGTTCGCGACTCCACCTTCAGTGCGCCTTTGTTCCCCTGAAAGCTTTGCGAAGGCAGAGATCACCTGGGAGGATTTTGATCACACTCTCTTCCCCGGCTTTGAGGCGCTCCCTGAGTTACATGTGGGGCTCTCTGACATTCGCGATTGTTTTCACCGACTCAAACAACCACGTTGGCTGCAGGAATTCTTTTGCTTCGATCCCGTGCCCGCCAAGTGGGTCGGGCTCTCGGGTCAGGAGCTCGGGGGAACACAGCTCAAGCCAGATGACCTTGTGTACCCTATGCCGTCTTCATTGCCCATGGGTTGTTCATGGAGTTTGTATTTTGCCCAGACCATCTCGGAGAAGTTGATGGGCGAGGTCAAGGGCCTAGAACAGTCTTCCTTGCTTCGCGATAGGGGACCCCCTCTGGTCATCAAAGTTCCGAGAGAGTTGCTAGAAGGTCGGAGCGACCCTGGGCCTGGAGCAGGCAAACCTCGCCCGGAGGGTGATCCCAGACATTATGTGTACGTAGACAACCTGGGGGTCTTGTCCATGGACAGGTCCGTCGTGGAGTCCTCGCTCTCCTCGATCACGGAGACATTTGAGCAGCGAGGCCTGAAGCTCCACCCTGGTGAGGTCAAATCACACAAAGTCGATGCACTGGGGTGCCGTTTGTCCGGCAGGCAATGCCGGGCCTCCTTGAAGCCGGCGCGGATGTGGAGGCTCCGGCAGGGCATCAGACACATGCTAAAGATGCGGTGTGTCTCGGGTCGTGTGTTGGAGGTTCTCATCGGACACGCTACGTATTGCTCCCTTCTCAACAGATGCCTCATGCCCATTTTTCATGCTACATACAAGTTCATCCGAAAACATTATGGAGAGAGGGTCACGCTGTGGGCGACCGTCCGCCGCGAGTTTGAGGTCTTTGCGGCTCTCCTCCCTCTGTGTTTTTCGGACTGGTCACGCGCCTGGAATGGGTACATCTCGGCTTCTGATGCCTCGCTCACCGGATTTGGGGTGTGCGGGCGAAGAATAGATCCTGAGATTGCAGCCCAGGTTGGGAGAGTGCCGGAGCGAGAGCGTTTCCGGCGTTGCCCTTCGACAAGTGCACGCGCCTCTGCCCTCTCCGCTGCCTTGACAGAAAACGAGTCAGACATGGACCAGGAAGTTGAAGCACTCCTTGAGGCGGGATGGGAGGTCGACGCCAGCTTCGTTGAGGTCCCCCGTGCTTTGCTCAGGAAGTCAGACTGGGAGGTGAACCTGTATGGAAAGTGGGCTTACCCGGACGACATTCTGGTTCTAGAGGGACATGCGCTGGTCAAGTCTTTGAGCCGAATTGCGCACACTAGACATGGCAAAGATGCACGGCAACTCCTCTTAGTCGACAATTTGCCGGTTGCCCTCGCTTTTGATCGGGGACGGTCACGTAACTATAAGGTCCTCAGATGCATCCGAAAGTTTAGCGCCTTATGTCTCAGCCGGAATTTGGCCTGTGCTGTCCGATGGATACCGTCTGAACTCAGCAGTGCAGACAAGCCTTCCCGTGTGTTCGAGGTGGATGGCTCCGAAGGTGCGAGTGCTGCAGCCGCCGTCTCCAAGACCTGGCAGCACTCCACGCAAGTCTGCGAGAGTCCTCGTTGCCCCAAAGTTCCAGGAGAAAGTCTCCAAGGCCGACTCCAGCCGTGCCAAATTGGATACCCCGAACATCCTGGTCGGCCTGCAGTCCGTGACGGTACAAGCGCTGACTCTTCCCAAGACAGAGGCCGAGCTGATCGCGATCGCAAAGCCTCAGGTGCGAGACAAAGGCGAAAGCTCCTCCAGCAGCTCCGAGGGCACTCCCGAAGTAACTCGGGGTGCCAAGCGAAAGCGAACTCTGGAGGTGCGAAGGAAAAAGCGGATCCGGAAATATCTCGACTCTGCGCTCGCCAGCGCAGCCAAGGAGACCACCTTCCTCGAAGACCAGGCCGTGACAAAGAATGTGCTGAAGACCTACGATGCGGAGGTGGCCCTCTTCCAGTCTTACCTCAGCAAGCGCGGACAGGATTGGAACACAGATCCGGACGGGGCCATCGCCGCGTACCTGAACCACCTCTTTTGGCAGGGCGAGCAGCCTTACAGGGGGGAAAAGTTCCTCGCAGGGTGGATGCACCGCCACCCGCGCTTTGGCAGGGTGGGGGACCGGAAGCTTGCCAGGAGCTGGAGAGCTCTGAAAGGATGGAGACGACTCTGCCCGGGCAACTCCAAGAGACCCATGCCGCTTGGGGTTTGGTGCGCCGTGGCGGTGGAGTTGGCGAGAAGGGGGCAACCCAGGATGGGGCTTTTCGTGATGGTTTCCCTGTCTACGTACGCCCGTCCATCGGAGTTGCTCCGCTGCCCGACACGGAG